ATTAGCTTCAATGTAGACTTAGGAACTTAGGGGGTTGTGTTCTTCTCGATCAAACAAATTCCATCCAAGAATCTCGCCCTGAGGTCCCACCTGGTCCACCGCTACCACGCGCAGGGAAGGTGGTTCGCCAATCTGAGACACCTCAAGAACAAACCCGTGGAGTTGGCTTCAACCATCAAATCCTGGTTCGTGAAGCGAAATACTTGTCTAGAGGCATCATGAATCCGTATTTTCAAACATGCACAGGCACGGAGTGTGAGACACAAAGCTTACCAAGCTCAGGAAAGTTCAGATCTTGCCTTCCTCAGCACGTCTGCTAGGATGCATTTGTTGTTCACTAAAGACCCCAAAAGTTGAACAGTTGAGCTCCGATGGGCTATTTCATCAACGCTGCACGAATGCTTTGACTTTCCAGCAATATCTTGTGGTCACGGATTGCCAAACGAGGCACAGTGCCCAGATTGCCGACCAGCCATCAAAACTTGATCCATCACTGCTTTCATCTGCCGATGGGCTGCCTCAGGATCTGGTCACGACCGAATGGAGTCACTCGTGACCACTCATTGTGCTGCCTTCGGGCGCACACCGAATGGAGTCACTTGCCAATTGGTGAGTATAGTTGTAAAAATCACGAAAAATGCAAAGGATACAGAGCTACAGATTGGTTTGCGTAGAGTTGCGAACAATGCAACCCGTGTTTTTTGAATACACTCGTGGACTCGACTGGTGGACTTTTGTGAATGCACAGCAACTCCACCCATACAAGAGCCGTCGGCTCTCGAGCCAGGCTCGTCGGAAGTCCCCGGCCTCGATCTCATGACTCTTGCAAGGGAACTTCTTCTCGGCCAAATTGCCAATGCTGGGGACACTCTCCTCAAGCAAGGTCGTGGGACGCGTCGTCGAAACCCGCGTCACGCCAAAGGGCCCCAACCAAACGGCTCCGACGTCTGACAAAGGCAACAGTCCAGGTGGCTGGGCTCTTGGCGCTCTAGTCTGCATGTGGACATGAAATTAGCATGTGGAGCTCATTCTTACTTGGGTGAAATCGGCATTGTGACATCTTGATTGGCAATGAATGGGCAGTCTGTTAGTCAGAGTATGTTGTGTCAGGCTGGCAGCCTAACAGTTTTATTGAATCAAGCCTCTGCAGGCTCTCCATGTGGCCCAGTCAGGAAGGGCAGTTCCAAGCGACAGGGCCCAAGCTCCTGAACAAGCACATTCACAGTCGGACTCTTATCATCTGCAACAGTGGGACACTGATTGTCAAAGATCTCTGAAGTCTGGAAGGTGATGATTCTCCAATTTCTATCCAATTTCTCGACCAGCCAATGTCTTTATTTGGAACTTCAGGTGAACAGTCCTATTCTCAGTCTGACCTTGATCCTGGATCTTCTAAATGACACGTGCTTCGGACTAAATCAACGTCTATGAACAAAGATCTCAACCCTGCAGACCGCCATCCTCAGACCTCTGCTCCACTGGTGTTTCTCGCAGAGAGCTCCTGAAGGGTGAGCCCCAGCTGTCGAGTTCGGCCATTCTTCGTGCGCCTCACCGGCAGCAAGAAGACCGCCCGCCTGGGAGCCGACGAGGAAGCGAGAGCGAGTCAGTGCAAAGCTTCCGAGGTGGATGAAGGAAGACCTGCAAACCTCTCAGTTGGGGGGAAGATCCATTCTGTGCGAGTTCTTGGTGAGTTCTGTGTGAATTCTGTGTGAATTCTTGGTGAATTTGTGGCAGGCAGATCTGCTCACATCTGCAGATCTAGACCTTGGAAGGGCCCCGGAAAGGGGCCATGAATGAATTGCTTGGCGCTGGAAACGCCCACCTGCTGTTGTAGGACTTCGATGCGTTCGCCAGTAAGCGATCAATGTCTTCCACACCAAAAGCTGTCTCCATTCGCCGGAACCACATCAGTGAATTGTCCTCAACCAAACGCGCGCGATGGGCGGACATGGGACAAGACATGGGCGGACATCGTATCAGGAGGCGATCTCTCGGCTGGCTTAGACCTTATAGTTGACCCCGCCTGAGATCGCCTGAGGAACCTGCAAGAAACTGGGTTCAGCCATCGCCTGGTACGTTTGGATTGGCTTTACTGGTGCTTGCCACTGAGAACTCCTGAAGGCCCTCTGGTTTCTGCGTGGTGCTCAGAGCACATGTGGGGGGAAAAAGGCCAGATTCTTCCAGAGATTCTGCCATTTTTTGGAAGACGTCCACTGTCGCACTGACATCTCACTGATGAACAAGTGTCCAAGGGCTGGCCATTGATCCCGAACCGTCGGATTCGGGCCAAGGCTGGAGTCATGTTCGCCTGGAGTTTCTGCTGACTCAAACTGCGACAAAGCTCCATGTCATTCCAAAAAATCAACGAAAACAAAAGGCTTTATACAGAAAAGAGCTATCATCATCCCAGATTCAGTGTCATTCAAATTCAACGAGAATAGCTATGAAACCCAGCTTCTGATTCAAAATCCTTCGCCAGCTTCCGCACCTCGTTGGGACACTTGATGGTCGCAATCAGTGCATCGAACTTCCAGATGGCCGAGGAATAGATCTCCTGGACACGTCTTAGGACGCGCCATGCTACTATATAGACTCTATAGACATGACACGTCTCACGAATGGTCCGTTTTTGGAACCTGCAAAACGAACTTGCACAACACACATCATGCTGCATAAACCGATGCGTGACAGCACACATCCTCCCCTGATGTTGATGCCTCATTGGAGGTTCCTTTGTTTTCTTCTTGCAGTGGTTTCAAGAGTAAATAGCACAGACCCCAAGATGTCCTAGACAGATGGGGGTCCATATAAAACCACCAAACTGGGGTCTGTGCCATTGGTCCTCTCAATCCACGTCTACCTTTTTGTTGGTTGGTCTTCCTCTGGTTTCCACTGCCCTCTCCATCTCCCGCCGGTCCCTGGTTTCTGGGATGCTATGGATGAAGGCAGGTCGTCGATCTGTGAGAACTGCAAAGCCCTGATCTCCAGGCCATGCTTGAGTTCTCAGCTGCATCTCTTCATAGCCTGGCCATGGGGAGGAGGAGCGACCGTTCCACAGGAGCCGACCGTTCTGGACGATTCTGGCAGTGAGGCAGGTGAAGCAGGCGCCCAAGGCGCCCAGCTTCACTCTCCCAACCAGGGCGCAACCCGCTTGTTCCAGGTTCTGACACCAAGCAGCTAACACCACAAATGCACTCTGGTTCAGACTGCAACTTTGGCAGCAGGTCAGGGACATACCTCCGCACGATCAGAAACAAAACAGGTGCAACATGTGAGGGAATCTATGCATATGTAAATGTATAGTGCAAAGAAATAACTCCTCAGCAGATCTTGAAACAAAGATATGTCAAAACAGTATAGACAAGCGCCGAAGACAGTTAATTAGGTATCTGTGCATCTGATAAAATAGAATAAAAGTATCTTTAAACATCTTTAAACATACAGTATTCCTTTAAGAGATGTGCAAGGAATTTTGATAGATGACGTGTTTCTCTCTTTAAAAAGTGTTATTCAGTGGTTATTTGTTCCGTCATTCTCGTGCCGCGCCACGGGAAGCGGCTGAAGGCCGCCGAGAGCGTGCAGCCGGGAGGGCAGGAGGCACAGCGCTGGGCCTCGCTCACGTAGACGGCGTTGAGCGGTGAGCCACAGCTGGTGACATAGACGGGAGCAGAGAAGCGCAGGTCAATCTCAATGTATTCCTCGGGCCGTTTTTTTCGCCACAAAGAATGAAGCTGTGTTCTTGGAAGCTACGAAACAGGAAAAAGAAGTGGAAAAAAGGCGCAGAGCTTCGAAGAGCGACATGAGTGGGCTTGAAGGTGCTTGAAAGGTGCACCTCCTAAAGCCGAGCACACGACCATGCAAGATCAGCCAAGATTCCAGAACTTCATCTTGCACCTCAGGGCTGACGCTGGACTTCAAATGCCAAGAAAAAAAGGAGTGTTGCGAGTCGGCCCCTCATCACAGCAACTCTCTTCAATCTTGAGTGAGTTGAAGTCCTGTAGACTCTTGATGAACAAAACCATCCCATTTGGCCAAAGCTCTTAATATCTCTTAACATACGGGGGAGGCATGGGGAGGCTTTTACTATCGAGAGGGTCTACTTCGACCGGACCCCCCAGACTTCGGTCTTCACCCAAGGCACCATGAGACGCCGCTCCGCCCGCGTGGACGCGGTGATCTGCAGTCGTTGCCCGGACGCGGAGCTGAGGCCCAGGAAAAGGACCCAAAGCACCAAGCTGCACATCCCCCACGGACACCCCAACCATGCTGTCATAGCAGGAATCTGCCCCTGCCCGTTCGGAAGCGTCAGGGGCACAAAGATCTTGGTCAGGTGGGGAGAAAACGGAAAGCGATGGAATTTCAAGAAGTGTCGGACTTTTTGAAGCTCATGTGCTGCGTGTCCTCGGATCTTTTACAAAGCATATCACGCGACGACCAGGTCCCGCCTAGGCGGGGCGCGGGTCGCACTAGGTCGCCCCCCTCATCGTTCCCTTCCCCCCAGTCGCTCCGACCCCGCTCCACCCTGACAACCAAGTCTGAAACAGATCAGGTGGGCTGAAGGTGAAGGAAGGGTCGTCTGATGTCGTAGTTGATGTGTTGTGAAAAAAGCGCTCGTCATGTGGCCTATTGGGCCACTGCTATGTCTGTACGCTTCATGGCTTTACTATGATTCTCGGGAGCCAAGAACAGCCGCATTGAAATTGAGAAAACATACCGGGAGCATCTACAGCAATAACAGTAATAATGCAACCTCCAGACACACTCCTGAAGGATATGGAAGGCCTGGGGGTACAACAGAATGCTTGGATGCTGGTTAGTGTCTTCACTGCAAGGATGCAAGGACTTCAATGCATTGCACAGCTCTTGAACATCTTGGAATGACCCCACGCTGGCCTGTGGCATGCACCATGCTTGTCCCGCAGTTCAACGAACCACCGCGCTCGACCCGTTGAGTTCAACGCAGACCAGCACAACACCCCGTCGGCTTCCAAGGTCGAGGCCCCGAAGCGTTGCGAACGCAGGTGCGGTGCTGGCGAACCTTAACATCATGACATCAAAAGAGGGGAAGACATAGAGAGGGAGCGACAAAACAAATGAGACTTCGCCAACTTGATTCTTGGGCACTCCTCCAACCTCTCACGTTCTGCAGAAAGTATCTCACAAAGTTGCATCAGAAAAAGCAAAAAAAAAACATGAGGAACGAACATGCATGCTAATATGTGGACCTGGGGCAAGTGGCTAAGGCCAGTGTCGTCAGTTGCGCTTTTCTCCACTCATTCCTCTGGCCCCGTCGTTTTGAGCCAGGAGTTGAGCCAGGACAGCTTGTGACAGCCATGGCATGCGCCGGCTTCTCGCTGACTTGTGAGTTGACAGATTTCTCCTCCCCCTACATGAGCGAGGCGAACTACGTGCGTTTTCGGGGTCTTGGGCGTTTATTTTCGTGATTCATGGCATCTATGACCAAGTGAAGTGGATCTTCTGGAGGATCCCAGCCTTGGCATCACCTACTACTTCTTCTTGACACATCAGTCCCATTGGTGCAGTCCTTGGGCCAAATAAAGGGGTGGAGTTGTGCCTCATCATGCTCTAAGGGAGAGGTTCCATCCTTATGGTTGTCAAAGACCTCCATGCTCTGCTTTGCAGTGGGGCAGCCAATCTCACTTCTGGCGACAGTAGGTTATTGGATCCTAGTTTGGCCAGAGGTGCAGTCCGGCGAGCAGGAGGTGACTTACTTGTCCGTCTACAATCATGGCATCAATGGCTTGCTCTTGTTGGTGAATTTCATGATCAGCCGAATGCCATACACCTCTTCCAATGGCGGATGGGTCATCCTTGCTGGTTTGCTGTATCTTGCCTTCACCTACGTGCACTTCCTGTTGCACCTGGGAATGGTCAAGGACTGCGATGGTTATGAGGATAAACGTGACCGTCCCATCTATTCTCAGTTTGATTGGCACAAGCCCGAAAAGACCGGCTTGCTTACTCTCCTTGCAGTGGGCATCTTGCTGCTTGTGATTCTGCTGTACATGGGCCTGGCTTCCCTAACAGACCGCTGCGCACGCTGCGGTGCTTCCCTCGCAGCCGGTGGCATGACTGGTGAAGGTGAGGTGAAAGAGCTCCTAGATGTGGAAGACCTGCTGAACGAGCCGAAAGTCACTGAGCCGCTGAAAGGACCGAAACCCTGGCCTCTTCAGGTGCCACGTGGGGTCTGAGGCGGGCACCGAGAAAACCAGGTGCTGGCCTCCCTTGTTTTTCTTCGTCCAATGCCTTCTGAAGGCCTGGGCAGCCTTGCTTATACAGTACCGCGGTGTCCCTGTTGCGCATTCCAAGTGTAGTGTGCTTTGGGGGCCTTCTGCGCTCCAGTGAACTGATCGTGGCAGGCGGGACGACCGGAGGCGAGCGAGGTTACATAAGTTGTGAATATGTTATATAGGTTGTCCTGCGAAGCATGTGCACCATTACATGCATCTCGTGGCATCCCCGCAAGACTGGGCGTCATGAAATGATTTATGCAGACCATAAACTTGAAATCCTTTATCTGTAAAGCCCCTGCACCAAAACACTGAAAAAGGTCGGATAAAATGTATCAATCTAGAAGAGAAACATCTGGCACAAAGCTGCAAGCCCAACAAATGCCGGGCAACAGGAGGCGCGGCATTCTGTGTTATGATGCATGGCCTCGGCCGAAAACCATGGAGAGGAGTTTCAATTGGATGGAAAGCTGCTTTTTGGCCCTGGCTCTTGGTGTGGAACTGCTAGTTGTTGCGACAGTTGCGTCTACCAGACTACCACGGATTCCATGATTCAAGGCCCGCGCATCCTCCGCTTTTGATAAGACGCCCACTGCCAACGTTTCAACCGTTAGGTCGGGCTATAGGGGCCGATGATAGGCCTGATGGGCTCCCTGATAAGGGGATTGAGCAGGCTGTAAGGGGAACCATTCAATCACACTCTGCTCAACAGCAAGCCTGGCCGTCCGCACTGGCAGGTCAGCGAGAGCCTAATTCGGAGCCGCTTGAGCCCCAATGAGCGCCAAAACCGGCCACCGTGCCAGCTCCCAGAAGCGGTGACCATCAAGAAATCATACAATTGAAATTCGGCAGGTCGACACTGAATAAAATGAAGCTGTCCCTTGGTATCCCCCTTGTGCATGTCCATGCATTTCCATAGGTTCTACAAAACTGCATCAAATCGCAACGGAGATGGTCAATTGCAAGACAAAATGGCCCAAGGTTCATCGACTAGGCTTAGCAGATCTGAGTACTATATATAAATGCGGATGATTCAGCCAATGAGGGAAGGTTTCCAGTCCAAGACGGTCCAACTACAACGTAGCCAGAGCTCGTGCAGCTAGTAATCGCAGGAATGAAAGTGGAACAGTCCAGTTCCGTGCCACTCACGCTTCAACTTCTTGGTCTTCAAAGCCAGGGGAGAGACCCAGGCAGCTTCCCCTACTCGGCTGCGGCTGCGCTTTTCCCCCCCTGGGCGTTGTGCCAGCTCATGCTGGCCGAGCAAAGCACCAAACACCAAGCCATGCCAAGCCAAACCTTGGTTTTTGGCCCGACTGTTGTGGGTTAACAAGGTCGACCAATCGCTCCGTCGCATCGAAGCTGCGGCTTTCAAGAATCCTCATGGATGTCCCGACTGTGCAACAAGTCTCGAACAACCAAACAAAGCTCCCGCACTCCAACTCAATCCATTGCACTTGGCCAACGCTCTTGCAGTTTGACCCTTTCCCCCCATTCTTCCCCCCCCCACCCCGACGTCGCTCTGCCGGCTGTGCCACGCTCCGCCGCCATCGCGTTGAGCGAGAGCATGCGCAGCCTGCCCTCCACGGCGCTCTGCTCCAGCTGATCAGCACACAGCCCCGGCCCAGCGGCGCGCAAGCCCTGCTGGGCACCCAAGCGCGAGGCCCTGGACCTGCAGCCGACGGACCCTGCGAGTGCTTGCGATCGATCGCAGGGTCTGAACGAATTGATCGATTGAATCCCCTGTCAATGGTATGCTCGTTTCTACCATAGAGGGGATTCAACATCGAGGGGATGATCCCATGGTTTCCAATACTCTGCTTTCTTGAATATGTTCACCTTTAATTTGTGTAAAGAGACCATGAAATAGAATAAGATATGGCTTTGAACAAGTGAATCCTAAAGTTAAAAGCCAATGATAAAATATATGGACTCGTTATGACTCGTTTCTAGTACTCATGGTCACTGGTCAGACGATGAAGCACGCGTGGAAACCTCGTGGGTTCCACGTCCTGGACGGCGCCGAGCGGTGAGCCGCCACTCGTCCGAGGCTGCCGCGACCGAGGCGCGGTCCATCTGAAAGTACCAAGGGAGGTCAAGTGACCTGAACTGGGACCCTATAGTGGTACCATGTGGTACCTATGGGATAGCCTATAGGCCTAGGATGGGCTCTTTCCCCTTTTTTGCTGAGCGCCAGACGCGAGATTCCGACGCGACAGACCGACCCGGGCGATGGCTTGTCCAAGTCACAGAGGCACGAAGATCTCTTCCCTCAGGCCACGCCCAAAAATGTGATCCGTGTGCCGGCGCACCGCCAGCAATTGCTCCGGCTGGAGGACCAAGTGATCTGCCATGCCTGGAGCAGGTCCACTACCCAGCTTGGGCTTTCCCAGGTCGGCCAGATGGAACACAGGAGAGCAGAAATTGAAAGACATGTCAATGTCCAATTGCCTCTGAGTGGGGAAAGCTACTAGTGACTTCTCACATGGTGTCACCATCTACGTCAAAGGAAGGAAGACGCCCACAGTTCGAGATGGATCAGCTCACAAGCTCCGCCGAACAATGTCGAACGAACTGAGTGGCGATCACTTTGTTGAACAGAAAACTTCCATCCTACCCCAGGTCCCACCTTTCATGGCCTCTTCCTTGGCCATTGGCCCATGTGTTTCAACCAATACTCGCCCAGCCTTGGGATCCCAACCGCTGCACGAAGGCCTCCAAAAGCCGATTCTCCAAGCGGCTTTGCACCTGCTCCGCCGGGAGCCTCGATGCGCGCCATGCCGGCGAGCCAGACGGACCCCACGGAGTGGCTTTCCATGACCGTACTGGTGTGGCCAGGCGTATGGCACATACTGGTGTGCCCTTGCGTTGCCTTGCTCTGCTACGTGGCCTTCATGTCCGATCCTTCGATGCGCAACGGGGCGTCAAAACGGGTTTTTTCAGAGGCTGCCGCATGCGAACACAAACGCCATCTAGCGAACGAAAGGTCAGTGGCCCGGACCCGGATGAGGTGTTTTCTCTCGACCCAGCCGTACGCGACCCGTGCTGAGTCGGCCGCGGGGAGAGTTGCGACTCCAAAAGGGCTCGCTGTGACTCGAGGTCGGAGGACAGCAGCTGCGCTTCTTGCAGCAAGTCGAAGCGTTGGCAGACACGGCTCAAGAGCAATCCTTGGCTCTTAGAAAAAGCTCCAGCTAGGAAACTGAGCCAATCTGAATGGGATGAAGGGTGAAGATTTCTTGTTGTTTATTGTTGCCGCCACAGTTTGGAGATTTTCTGGGAAAATTATTAAGAGCTTCTTTGGGTTTGGTGCTCTTTTCGCGGGAACCCTTTAAAGGGCGACCCAAGACAAGCGAGCATGTCCTCGAAGCAGGAGCAAAAGCAGGAGCAAAGGCAGCAGCAAAAGAGCCAAAAAAACACTACTAGAAAGAAAACACAAATGTCCAACTGAAAAAGATTGCCACAACAAACACTGCTCCTGAAGAAAGAACCCACATGAGAATCGACATGTACCTCGAACCAGCTTTTAAGATGCTCATTTCATGCACAATACCCTCCCTGAAACGAACCATGGAAGTGGACAATGCCCTGTTTGTAGAGGAAAAGTGCCTTTCCAGGAGCCATGTTGCACTTCCATGATTGTGTCAGGGGGGGCTATGAATATCTCAGCTGTTGTCACACACATGACTCCGAACTCGTGCTGCCCCGAATCCGAAGAGCACGTGGCCAAAATACTTGTCTGCTTGAGCCACTCGAGTGTTGGCCATGAGATCGAAGTACCTTCTCACCTGCTTCACCACTTCTGAACGATTCCTGGCACGCGCAACACACGGAGTCTGCACACCCTCCGAAGGGGCGGTGTCCGACCTTTTTCTGATTGGGTCGTTGATGCCGTTTCTTGGAAAACACCGGACTCCGCGGTGTTAGAAAACCACCTCTCTTCAGCTAACTATTCAGCAGCTAAGAATGCCATTGGGAAAGTTTTTGGGGAGCACAAAACGACCCCAAAAGCTGCTGGGCTCTGCAGCCTGGGCTCTGCAGCGACTCGGGTGTGATCGCCAAGGGCACCGGCGCATCGTCAAAGGAACGATTCCAGTCCGGCAATCCGGCAGCACCAGCCACAGCTCGGACAGCCTGAAGGACCGCCTCTCAAAGTAAAGCACGCAGGAAAAAAAGGAAACAATACCAAATACCATCCAAATACCATTCAGTACCTGCCCAAATGCACCCAAAAGAAGCAAAACATGGCAAAACTCCAAAGAGTGTGTCACATCAATGAACACTTGAACCAACAAGAACCAACACTTTGCTCCACCAATTCTGGGTGAAGTCCAGTGGTCCTATCGGGTAATCCCAACATGTCCAAAGCCCACTTCCCTGCCCATTGTCCATTCTTGACTAACCTTTTTTCACTGCCAAACCCCTGGGCAGTGCAGTCATTGTCAAATTGCATCCGCACAGCAACTCTAAGACATTCTATGATAGCTCCTGCACCGCTTGGCGGGCAAGGGCCGCAGCCTGCGTGTTTGAACAGCCACGGCGCCGCTCACAATGATACACCCTGCTGTACACATTGTTTCTGTTTTTGCTCTGTTCCTTTAGAACATTAGCTTTGGCCTTTGCACGAGGCTTTCCAACATTGGCCTTCGGCCTTGCCTTGCACTTTGCATTTGTGCTTTTTTTTGCACGTGTCTTGGCCTTGGGCATGGCTTTTGCATCTGCCTTGGCCTTGGGCCTGGGCCTGGCTTTTGCACCTGCCTTGGCCTTTGGCCTGGCTTTTGCTGATGCACCCAAACTCTGTTCTTTGGGCTTTGGCGTTGGAACTAATGGCCGTGTGCCCATCGGAGTAGGGACAGCCGCCAGCCTCAATATCACATACCAACCAAATTCAACCTTAAAGTACAAACTGTACCATCCAAATTGTGAGCTGACTCTAAGTCCTTAGCGACGATTGGTCATGCTCAGAAGACCCCTGCAACATATTGTGTTCATTTGTGCTCACTTTCCGTGAATCCATTCTCAAATCAGCTTCGAATACAGGCTGCCTCGCCGCCTTCAGGTTTTTTTTCAGGCTCGTCTTCGTTGGAGAGGTCCACCAGCACCTGCAACGCACCAATCACACACCAAAAACACAAAGATGTGGAACAAATGTAGGCATAGAAATATGGGACACACACCTGTTCAGATCCACACAAAGAGATAGTCTCATCCACAACGGAATGCGTCTCTTCAACTGCTGCCACCAAATCAACCTGAAGGTAAGAGCAAGAAGGAGGATTCATTAAGCAAGCATCTAAGCAAGATTGCATAGATCTAAGCAAGCAAACAGCCTGCTCAGGTTGGTCCTCATAGCCATCAAGGCAATCGCCAGGCTTATCAGGGCTGGCCTCCACACCAACACCATTACTAGGGCTAATTGCTTCCATGGTTCAAAAACAAGGGGCGCCTGTCACAAGTTAGTATGGACACACATCAAGCAAGATCATTCTTGATACCGATGGGAGCCTCGCTGGTGCCAAACAGTTGGCTTTCGGACAATTCAGTTGGATTCTCCTGGTGCATATGTCAGCGAGTGGTGAGTCCAAAACTAGTGGGCACAACACCAGCATGAACAAACCATCACAACCATGCACAAAGACCTTTGGGTAGATGCCATGATTCACGGGCTCCTTTGCAGCGTTCTTGTTTGGCTCAGCATCCTCCTCAAGGCTGGATGGCTGCAGAGACAGGATGGCTGGGATTGGAAACTCAGGGAACATCGCAGGTAAGATTCTGTGGTATTGGGTCCTGCTTCTCAAAGAACTGAGCGTTCTGGCGATGTAGGCGACGTTTCTCCAGGATGTCAGCAATGTCCTGCAATGGCAATGTTCTATGTGGAGGTTCAAAAGGGGTTACAGTGACAAAGGGCCACAACCATTTTCGAGGGCAAGATGATTTATCCAAGTTGTTTCAGAAAGGTATATGATTAAAACTGAACACTGCGCTAAGACCGAAGAAGGCTTTGGGAAAGCGATTGCAGATTCAGTGTGGGAGTCCTACTGCCCTTCCCGGTTACAGGCATCAACAGAAGACTTCCCATGCAGGGGGCATCACTGGAGGAATCACCATGGCTTACAAGAAAGTGGCTGCCTGGGAGATTTGCACAAGTACTTTAAGACCTAGGCTAGGCCCAAAATCCCAAACATGTGAAGACAATTTGTTTGCCTTCTCAAGCCATTGTTATTGGTTATCCATGCTGCAACCTTATATAACCGCCTTTTCATATTTATCCTTCCCACTTGGAACTGGAACTGGGATGCAGGTTCACCATCACCCGAAAAGGTGAGCGCCAATTGGTCTCAGCCTCTTGGAATAGAAACATGGAACAGATGTTGATTGGTTGCAGCCATTAAGCACCTATGAAAGAGTTGTTATGTTTTGAGGATTCAAGTGGAAGTCTCCGTTTCGCTCACCACTATTGCCAAAACGAAGATTGTACAGTAACCATTTTCATTGAAAACTGGCTTGGGTGGAGGTTGCGCAGGGAATCCTTGAAAGGTCCATGGCTAACCTTGATGTTGTGCACACCGCCCTCTGAAGACAAAGTTCACACATGTTCAAATCAGGTCATACACAGCATGGTCTTTACACAGCATGTCTGTCCGGGCGAAGCTCCAGGGTCTCTTCAGAGTCAAAGGGCGAATCCTGCAGACTGGACATGGCTGGTATGAGAGTTGACCAAAAGCAGGTGATGCAAAACATCCCACTCATTCGAGTGTCCTGGTGTTGCTTAGGAGAATCAACCGCCTAGAAGTGAGGTTTGGTGAAGACACCCAACACTTGCACACTTCTAGGGGCAAGGTGATCAGGACCGGCCTCACCATCCATCTCCATTGTCTCCACCTCATCCATCTCATCAGCCAAACGCCTCACATGGCCCAGGTCCTGAAGTGCTGAGAAGTATGGAGAAGTGCTGGGAAGCTGGTTTAAGCTACTCGGTGTCAATCATTTGCTTCAAAACCCCAATCCTGATTTCCCTCCAAGACAGGATCGAAATTGACATATGGCGGATAGAGTAGCTCATTTCCAAGCTGGTTGTCAGGAGAGACAAAAATGCCTTTCTTTCTGGGCATCTCTGGGCTGCTGGGAATCGAAACGCTTTCATGAGCCTCTCGTTCTGCAATCTCAGCCGACACGATCGCAGCTTGCAGCTCCAACTGAAGGCGCTCGGTAGGATCCATAGGAAGATCCAACTGAAGACGCTCATCAGAGTCTAACGCCCCACTGGAGTTTGGCGCATGCTGATCATCCTCTCTTCTCTTGCCCTTCTTCCTTGTTTTTTCCTTGGGAGTCTTGCTGGACTTAGTAGTCTTGGGTTTCCTGCTTGCAGCAGCTGGTTTCTTGCTTGGCTGAGAACCTTGCCCTGCCAAGCCTGCCGCATCATCACCATCGCAATCGTCATCTTCATCATTGTCATCTTCATGGTCACGCTCGCAACCATCATCTTCATCTTCCTGCTCTTGAGCCTTTCTCTTCTTGTCTTTGTCTTTCTTGTCTTTCTTGTCTTTCTGTTTCTTCTTCTCATCTTCTCCTGCCTTATTTTTCTTCTTCTTTGCTCCCTCTCCATCGCTCTCTTTGTTTGCATGTGTCTTGCTTGGCTTCTTCTTCTCTTCTGTCTCATCCGGATCACCTTTGTCCTTCGAGTCACTGGCAGATTCGGACCCGTGGCATCGCTTCAGCAAAGTTCCTGACAAAAGATGAAATGGGAGAGAACTCTTGGAGCGGTACAGGTTGTATAATTATGCAGCAGTTTAAAGTAGCCAATCATGACCGCAAAGTCATTGACCGATATTGATAGATATATGATATTTATATATATATATGGAGCCTGAAACAAGATCATCCCAGCCTGTTGAGGCTTTTTGGGCATTCTCAGCAGCAGCTGGCGAAGCACGAGGAGGTGCGGAGGGCGCACTTCCACTCAAAAGGTCCGAATAGGCTGAAGCTGAGAATTTTGGAGTGAACTCCATTGGCCCCTCCAATCTAGGAACTGCAACGGTCTCAGCCCAAAAGCCCTGTGGTGGCCAGAATGACAGACTTGCAATTCAATGGTGTTTCAAAAAAGAAGGTACATCATCAACCCTTTTCACTGGGCATGGAGACATTTTCACTTTTTGTTTCAAGCTTTTGCGCACTAGTGAGCAATGTTTATTGCGACGTGCGACAGTGAAGGCATCCCTGACAGCGCTTATCATTGAACAATGTTTGGAATTTGGAACCATGAAAATTATATCCTACCATCACTACACCATGTCAGGGTTCACCTTCATCGCATACAGGCATCCCTGTATGAGCCGTACCCCAGGATATTCCCAAACATTGAATCAAACAAGTTGAGCCACTTGCTTGCTTTTCAAACTCACTGACCCTGCCATGACTGCTACAGGCCGCACTGGGACGAACTCACGAGCAGTCCCTTTCTCAAAGTGCAGCCTGGAAAGCGAGCCGATCATGGTGGAAGTCAGTAAGCTTCTGGGAGGAGAAGTGGTTTGTCAATTGCAATGTGCACATGGATTCTCCCTGGATGTTTTCCCAATTAGTTGTATGTAGACATCCATGATCATCTGAATGTAAGAAAGTGGTGAACATACTTTTGTTGGAACAGGTCCGGACAAGATTTCTTAAGGTCTTGATGTTGGATCAGAGTCTAAACATGAAAAGATCTTGGTTGAATAAGATGAGACACAACATGATACAAACATGAACAAATGATGTGGGAGGGTAATCCAAAGCAAGTAAGAGCCATCACCCCCAGCCCACAACTTGTGACCTGCCTCATTCGCCAAATGATCTTGACGTTTTGGCTGGCACGGAGCTTGCTGAAGTTGAAATTGCTCCCATAGGTCAAGGCTGAAGCCTGGTGTTCCAGGATTTTTTCATGGTTGTTCTCCATGGTTGTTCTCCATGGTGTTTTATGTTGTTGAACCAACTGGAGAAAATATTGTCTTGTAAAACTTGAAGGAGAGTTGAGGGCAACTATGACATCTGAGGCCAAGCCTTCTTGCGCTTTTTGCCCGGTGGGTCAAGGACAAAGGCCACATCATGGAGAGGGCTGAAGGACAAAGTGTTATTGTCAGTCGATGTCCTGTGTTCAGCGATGGACAGCT